TCTCTATATCTCTATATCTCTATCTCTATATCTCTATCTCTATCTCTCTCTCTCTCATATACACAGCACAGAGAGAGAGAGAGAGAGAGAGAGAGAGTAGCCATCCAGCCACTGTCACGCTCGATCTATCTAAGCTTATCCATCTATTTATCTAACCTTTGAGCACCTCGCCGTAAGAACAAAAATCATGCTGGTGCATGCGAATGACATTTATCCCTCAACTCCCTCACTCTCTTTTCGTATTATCATCGATATTGTCTCCTCGCATCACTCGCGTTACACAATATTCTTGTATGTGTTCGGGCACTTGTATATTTGTTTGACGGAAAATCGGACGGACAAACACTGCTTACCCCGTCGGCTATAAATTAAACATATTAAGGGACGGGTAAATTAATTTTTTTAATGAGATTCTTTAATGCGAACCGTGAAAAGCATAGAATTATTCACGCTTGTTAAATGAATGAACATAGATGCTCTGATCTATGTTTGTATTCCTTTAAGTGTAGTAAAATATTAAAGAACAAAGTCCAAGGAAATGTTTGAAATAAACTGAACTTGGTTGTTTATACAAATATACTTCGAGTGGGTAATGCAATTATGCAGATGTAACTTGGCCATTTCAATTGTCAATTGTGAATGATTTTTAAGCTTTTCAAAAATAACGACGCTAAAAATCCAATTTTTTTTTGTTTTTATCTCTTTAAGCAAATAACTCGTTTCAATCATTAAAACTTTTATTAAAAATATTTGCTAAAATTAGCGAATTTAAAAATTGTAATTAATGTAAAATGTAAAAAAAATTGTATAAAAGTACGAAAGAATTTGGAATGTATATATATATATATATATATATACTTCAATTAATTGAAAAAATTTCATCTTGTAAATGGAATAAAATGAATAATAAATGTAAATAAATTCCTAGAATGGATATTGATAATCAAAATCGATGATATTCTTAATCTTTTGGCAATGTATACGTATGCGTATGCGTGTGTATGCGTAAGGACTTTCACGAAAAAGACGTGTCTTTTTATTAAAAACTCCAGTATACTTAAACTTGCTAATATTTTCTCCGTAGTAAATATTCGAATGATCGGATCCCTCGATAAGTGGCGAACGGGAAGTATCTTAACTTTAAACAAAAGGATCATTAAAGAGATAAAAGATGAAAGTTTCCCTTTGTTTTTTAGAATATTAAAAATTCTAAATCATAGGACTTCCTGCTTATCTGCATTCTTATTAATAATTACGATACCTCAACGTTTCCTTTTAGTTCCGTATGGGCAAAAAAAAAAAAAAAAAAAAACAATCGTATGAGAAGATGTATGGACAGCAACAAATACAGTTCATTAAATTCATCAAATTGTTAGCAATATTATTATTATAAAAAGAAAAACGTCATATTAATAATAAATTAAACTTACTTACCTTACTTCGCAGGTGGTGCATTTACGACAAAGGCTAGATAATGCCGTCAGTAGTTCGAGAGATCGAGCCTTTCCTTTGGACACGACCCTCGCCATGATTCAAACCCTCATAGACTGCGACGAATTCCAAGATATCGCTACGTTACGAGTATGTTGGCCACTTAATGTCACTTAATTACGAATGTCGCTGAATAGTTGAATATTTGCATTGCAATTGCGCGTAACCGTTTGCACATAATTTCTATGTATAATATAAAGTAATTGGACTCGGGCTCATACTCTTTCTGGCCAATTGATATTGCACAGTACAAATAAACAATGATAATATTCCTTTGATCAGCATTTATTTGAATTATGTGAAGCTTGCTTGAGAGATTGAAATCTTAGACATCGATTAGCCATTATCAATATATTGCCATAAAGAATGTGATCTCGTTAATTGCACGACCAATTCGCGCTAACGCTAATACGAGAACAATACCTACATCGAGCAGTTAAACGATTCGTTGCAAAACTTCGTTAAAAAAAATTCAACGACAATAACGACATTATAATACCGATTCAGAACTTGGACGAGCTGCTGGACCATAAATCGGACTTAAGCGAGAAGCTGTGTCAGATAGGGGACAGCATAGTATACAAGCTGGTGCAATGGACCAAGAGGTTACCGTTTTACCTTGAATTACCAGTAGAAGTGCACACGAGGCTGCTTACGCACAAGTGGCACGAGCTCCTCGTGCTCACGACCTCGGCTTACCAGGCGATGCACGGCCAGCACAAGGTTACGAGCTCGGGTAACGACGCCACGGGCGCAGACTTCAACCAAGAGGTCAGTTGCTCTAATTTATCTTGGCGCGAGCGATCTGTATCGAGCCAACGTTGCTGGCATTTTTAACACTAAACCACTTCCCCTAGCTAGTGCTTATAGTGCTTAATAGCCAGGGTTACGCGCGGTCGACTATATGGTGATTTGTCTGGTCCGCGCGAGGCCTTATTGCAAATTTATCGCTTCCCCTCCGCCCTCCCATTACTAAACATCTATTCGTCGTACTACGATGCATGGGGTGAAAAATCGAAATGAAAAACCATTGAGAAAACTATTTGGTTTTTATAGGATCATTAAGAATGCTCAGTGCCTACTTCGTGGGGCCAATGCTCTCGAGCTTCGGTAATTTTTACCGGTTCCCATTTGTTTCCGCTACGAATATGTAAAAAAAAAAACTCCAAATACTTTGTCGAATGACCTGTTTATATATGTATATATATATATATATATATATATATATATATGTAGATATATAAGCAATAAAAGAACAAAAAAAAAACCAACAACAACGATAGGCAAGAAAGAATGGACATGCTAGCCGCTTAAGTAAATACGATCCAACATCGTGAAATAGAATTTTTATACACTTTGTTGGTAATATAAGCTGTAGCCGAGTTACATTACTCGACAATGTACGATAATATTTATTAATACATAATAATGTTTTTGGTATTGGTATTACTCCTGCATAAGAAATAAATAAAGCTCTGAAATGTTTAATGGCCACACAGGTTTCGAACAATATGTACACATTACAAGCGTGTCTGACAAGTATGATGGGTCGGCCAATAACAATGGACCAATTGCGACAAGATGTTGGTCTCATGGTTGAAAAAATCACATATGTCACGCTAATGTTCAGGAGGGTGAAACTGAGAATGGAGGAGTACGTCTGTCTCAAAGTCATCACAATGCTTTCGCAAGGTAACTTTTTTATCTTCGACACTTTTAGCATACAAATTAATAATATCGATACGCACTAACACTTGCAATTTTATGACGAAACGAATTGCTAATGATTTTTCATTTTTGCACAACATATTTAATAATCGCTCTCAGCAATCGACAGATTCTTCTTAAAATCTTCGTCTTAAGATCTTTTGCACATTGCCATTTTTGTCACTGCAATTTTTAAAAATATTTTTCAAATTATACACCAAATAATACTGTTTTCATAATAACGAGATTAATGTAATAAATCTACAGTAAGACTTGTAAATTAATCAAATACACGAAGAAGAAGAAATGTGTGCGTGCGTGTGTGTGCGTGCGTGCGTGTGTGAGTGTGTGCGCGCGTGCGCGTGTATGTATCAATGAATGATAATAAATCTATAAATAGATTCATAAGTAATAATTAACGTGTAGCTTATTGTCGATTAGATTAAAAAACTTTTTTTTTAATAAATTCATTGGATTAATAAATTACGTCGTTATTATGGATAATATCAATCGTTGACACAGCCTCGCATACAAATGCGACGTGATTACTCGCGTAAGTTATCTGGATAATAGACACATTAAGCATCTGATACTATCTACGGCCTCTAATTCTTAAAGATGCTGTAGGGACATAATGAACTGATTAATCCCAATCACATCGTAACATCAGTTTTTACTTCAAGCACTCCATTTTTAACAAATTCCCAGCACTATATTTTGGTAACGATTTTAAAAAAAATTCTTATCGCCCATATACAATCAAAATCCATGTTTTTTTTTATGACATACAGTTCGTTACACTTAAGCTTCAACGCACAAAATCAATAGTTTAAAAAAAAAAAAAAAAAATCATAGTAGAGTATCGCCCAGATATTTCAACAATTAACAATCCACCCCTCCTAAAATTCAAATCTCGCATAAATGCTTAATTATTAATCAATCGATATCTAATTAACAATATTTCTTCAATTATTGCTGCTGTGACAGACGCAAAGTGTAAGTGCCGCCGACTATACTCAATCGATAAACCTACCCAAACAATAATCCTGCTAATGACAATTAATCGAACCCCAATGATTGTTACAGCACGAGGTGGTACAGTGGAATTAGAACAAATACAAGAACGGTACATGAGCTGTTTACGAAGTTTCGTCGAACACAGTGCTCCGCAGCAGCCAAGTCGCTTTCACGATCTTCTCGTCAGATTGCCCGAAGTATGTTGCATTTTCATGAATTTCCCTTTGATATTAGTAGGGTAAAGTAAACTTATTCATGAGTTCAGTCGCTTATTTATTGTAATTCTCTCTTTCTCGCGATTTGTTCGGCAAAGCGCAGTATTGCTTGAATCAAATAGCCAAACACTCGTGATATATAGATAAATAATAAATATATTTATATTATTAATGGGTAGAAACACTTTATTACGTCAATTGGCAGTCAATTTTAAATTAATGAGAATAAATTTTTCTTTCTTGTTGAATATGTTGTTGAATCATCTGCATTTTTATGAGAGATCGAGATCATTAATTCGGACAACAATTTTTAAAATAGCAAGAAAAAAATTTTCTCTCTATTATTATTATGTAAAAATACTTTAATGGAAACGATTTTCAGGTACAATCGGCGGCAGCTTTACTACTCGAGAGTAAAATGTTCTACGTTCCTTTCCTATTGAACTCAGCAATTCAAAGATAGTAAATAAACAAGCTGACAATTGAAGCTGACTACCTATACATATATACATATATAAATAAAAGAAGACAAATTGAACAAACAAAGCGAATGAACGATATGATTTTATGCATCGGATTCGCGTTGAGCTGAACGCTGAATTGGCTCTGTTTGTGTATATAATAATAATAACTATAATATATACATATGTGTGCGCGTGTGTGTGTACGCGCGCGTTTATGTATATATGTGTGTGTATATATATATATATATATATATATATATATGCGTGTACGCAAGTGTTTGCATGTATGTATATATATATACACACACACACATATATATATATATATATATATACATACATGCATACATACATACATACACACACACACACACAACCACACACATACATGTATATATCTATATCTATATATATATATATATATATATATATATATATTATATATAAATATATAAATAATATTAATGTGGGTGTTCGTCGCGTTGTACAAAAACGAAAAGGGAAATCAATCGAAGGGTGACGAGTGAAAAGGTGTAAGACATAAAGGTGACTGAAAAAGAAAGAGAAAATGAAAATCTGAAAGAGTGAGGAGGAGAAGGAGGAGGAGAGGGTAAGGAGATAGTAAGAGCAAGTGTGTGTGTGTGTGTGTGTGTGTGTGTGTGTGTGTGTGTGTGTGTGAGAGAGAGAGAGAGAGAGAACTAAAAGTGAGACTAAAAGTAAGTCAAGATTGTGAATTTAATTAAATAATTTGAATAATGAAGAAAGTGAACACGATTAAGTGAAAACATGCGAAGAAAAAGAACAACAAAGAGATACAAGTAGGATATTATACAGCGAAAATCATGTTAGAAGAAAAAAAACTCTAAAAAGGAAGAGAAAATTAAAATTAAAGGAATAAATCGTGATGGACTGAACTTTTTTATTGAAACTAAAAGACTATATTAATAATATATTTCTGTAGGCAGTCGAGCAACTACGTCATTGTGTGTTCACATTGCATAATCCGAATCGATAATAAGACTCTAATGTACGTACTGCTCATAGTAGGGCCAACGTAAAAAAACAATACATCGCCATTTTACCGTCGACAACAATTAAAAATGATTAAAAGCATGATATACATGTAATGATAATATTGTATTAATGAATCAACAGGAACAACTGAACAACTGAACCGCCGATACAGCATCAACATTTATTACAAACTAAGTAAGCAAAAAATCATATTGTCTGTACAAGAAAAATCGACTCTGTTTTGTGACATAAATGTCAGCGTCCCGCGGATACCACACATGTGTTTATTTAAGATATACGTGCGTATATTTTCACGCCAACTAATACTAACTTACGGCTGCCACCATGTATAGAAAAATAAAGTGAAACGATATAAGCATACACATACACACATAAATACATACATGTTATAGATTGGGGATTGGTCGAGGTTTGGGGGGGGGGGGGAAAAGAAAAACGAATACACGGGGTCTGTAATAATTACTTTTCAAACCCTCTGTAAAAGCCTCAAAATAACGTCTAAACGTGATTATTACTATCATTATCATTATTATTATTATTACTATCATTATCATTATTATTATTATTATTATTATTATCATTATTATTATTATTACTATCATTATCATTATTATTATTATTACTATCATTATCATTATTATTATTATTACTATCATTATCATTATTATTATTATTACTATCATTATCATTATTATTATTATTACTATCATTATCATTATTATTATTATTACTATCATTATCATTATTATTATTATTACTATCATTATCATTATTATTATTATTACTATCATTATCATTATTATTATTATTACTATCATTATCATTATTATTATTATTACTATCATTATCATTATTATTATTATTACTATCATTATCATTATTATTATTATTACTATCATTATCATTATTATTATTATTACTATCATTATCATTATTATTATTATTACTATCATTATCATTATTATTATTATTACTATCATTATCATTATTATTATTATTACTATCATTATCATTATTATTATTATTACTATCATTATCATTATTATTATTATTATTATTATTATTATTAGTAGTATTGTTGTTATACATACGTAGCATAGCTATTGTAACAGTCATTTTTGCCGCCGTTATTATTGTGTAGTAATAATTTTACCAACGTCAGTTACCAATGTGTATACTTTTGAAACGATGGTTATTATATACTGCCAAAGCGATTGGTTCCCGAATACATAAAGATTTTCATCCAGCAATTAAACTACACACGCAAACACCATTATTTATTCAGATAATTCTCAAAATGAAAGTTAAAGTTTTAAATTAACTTCTAAGACGGCACAATTCAAAATCATCTGATTAAGGATAATTCTTATTGGATTCATAATTTATTGAAGTAACTGTAAATTTCTTTTACGTAGCATCGAAAAATAAAAAATTGTTATTAAATACCATATTAGTGTTCAACAATTGTGAAAAATAATTGTTATTTAGAAAATGCGTAAGTATGACTTGATTCGAAACTTAAAGAATGTAAATCGGAGCCAATAATATGTGTTCAGTTGTCAATTAAGAAAGTCTGAGGAAAACGTACGAAAATTAAGTCCGTATACAATTACAATTTTCGCGCTTCTATGAATATTTTTCTATATTTTGATAAACAAAACAAAAAATGATTACGAGCGTCAACGAACGTCATTAATTTTTTCTTTTTCTTTTTTTTTTTTTTTTTTAACCAATCTCCCATATGTCCGATTTCATCAGACTTTTTTGATAAATTTGCATTTGCACTTGCATAATACTTAGTCTGTGAACTAATTCAAAATATATCTTAAAAGGTAATTCAAGAATTGATTAATTACGTATGCTGAGTTCGAAGTGTGATTCTCTTCGTGTCTTACGTTTAAAAAAACAAAAACAAAGAAATTTAATGATTAAGGTGATCGCGATATTTTTGATACATAAAGTAATTAAATAAACTAATTTAAATCGTTGCACGAAATTAAAAATTGTTCATAAATAAGAAAAGATGTCATTGTTTCATCGCTCAACCTATAAATTATTATGTATATCATTACAAAACGGTCGTTAAGTGAATATTATCGTATTATCATTGTTTTCTGCCTTTTCGTTTCTCCTCGTTTTTCATCTTGAAACTCTCTACTATACGAATAATACAATTGAATTTTTACTAGCAAAGGGATCGTCTTATAATAAAATAAATACTTGCGACTTTCTCCTTTCAAATCATTGACATAGTCTCGTCTTTCGGTCTATGTAATTTCGTTTAGTGCCAGTACTCGATGCACATAACAACTGTCTCAACTAGCTATAATCGATCTCCACTACGGAGGCGACACAACTGCCATAGCTTAAACTAAGAAATTTAATTTCAATCGAAAGTTTGAACATTAGATAAGACATAGGGGCCTAAATCACAATCTGAACAATAATTATTAGCATACAAAGTCATCAATGATTCATTGCTCCTTTAATAACCATAGTGCATAGGCTTGCTTATCACCCACATGTCTTTAGCTAAATATTCTGTTCAAATGAAGTAGCCAATCGGGACTGATTATATACTGAATATATACATATACATATATCCTTAAGTAACGAATTAATTAACGTTCGATTGTTGTAAGAAAATATAATTAACTACTGTAATGTTTTTCATCGTAAAAAGCATCTTTTTTTAATCAATTGGGAGAATTAGGAATTAATCATTCTCGAAAATGAGAATGAGAATGATTCGAACGAGCTCAGCATACTACTTACGCATTAAAAACAAAAAAAAAAAACAAAAAAAAAATTTTCACAAAATTATAATACATCAAAATTAAAAGAAATCGCAGTCCGATGACGTGTTACGAGTATTTATTGTAAAATTCATTATTTTTTTTTTTTTTGTTTTTTTTTTTCGAAACAGAAAAACAATACAAGTTACCACAATAATCTCATAGTTATATGCTACGAAATAAAATACTAAATACAGACGTACACGCACACAAACAGAGACACACACCATATAAACCGGAAACATATTGTATCCATAAAAGTCGAAGATGATCGACGCTGCCCTGTAAGCGAAGTCTCTCCAAGTCTATCGTAGTACGAGAATTAATACATATAGAAACATTAAAATAAATCGTGAAATTTTCTTTACATATTAATTATCATAATTGTTTAACTTGTTTGTCCTCATGCTTGCATTTATTCGCATTCTTCATCGATGTCGGTTCAGTTCCTCAAATAAAACAGCTTCTTATGAACATTTATATTAACTTCTCACTCGGCTGTTTTTGTGTCATTTGGGTTCATGGAATCGCGAGATACGGAGAGATTTCGATCGCGCGCGTGCGATCAGCGATCTATTATTTATATATAGAGAGTTCGAATTGTTAAAGAAAAGACAAAAAAAAAGGAGAAAAAAAAAACTTAAAAAAGCGTTATTAAAGAAAAAGTATACCAGTGGTTGAAGCTAGTTTATATAAAAAGATGATCAAAAGGGATAAATAAAGTAAAGCGTTAAATTTTTAATATTATTTCAAAGACGTGTATATGCATGAGTGATATGGAATTAAGAGGTGAAATGAAATTTTTTAAATTACAAAAGGGGAAAGAAAATATCGTTTCAACGCTGTTGCAGCCTTCATTTCGTCTTGCCGCTATAGAAAGTTTTTTAATTTATTAGAGAAGAATTTTTCTTTTAACTGAGGCGCTGACACTCGAAAGCCTTGATAAGAATGTAATTTTTTTTTTTTTTTTTTTTTTTTTTTTTTCACCAAGTCACTTCATTTCATATAATATTTTCTAACAAACAACGAACTTTAACAACATTTATTTATTAGTAAATTAGTCACTGTTTTTGACTGATTGATTGAAGGAAAAAAAAAAAAAAAAAAAAAAAAATTCGACTAAATAAGGCTGAACTTGTCATTAGGATTTTTTCTCTATAAAATAGAGAAAGTACGAGTAAAATGTAAAGGTAAAATTTTAATTCTACAACTAAGCGTCTTGCTCAACAAATTTTGTATCGTCTATGAGATAAAAATATCGCTAAA